GGACAACAAAAGGGTGAAAAGTGCCTGATAAGGGGTTAAATATCCAATAATCTAACTGGCAAGAAATAAAAGCATGCATTAGCACCTCCGTGCTGGCCTGAGAGAGAAACAGGCGAACTCTGGCTATGTTCTTCAGATGATAAAATCCTATCTTCTCTATGTTTTTAATATGTGGAATAAAATTCAGCTCAGAGTCAAAAATTACGCCCAGGTTTTTTTTTACAGAATGTGCTGGTTTAAAACCTTGTAGATTTGATAAAAGTTTCTCTCTCTGGCCTTCAGGACCTATAACTAAAACTTCTGTTTTGTCCTGGTTGAGCTGTAGGAAGTTTGCTGCCATCCATGATTTGATGTCTAAAATGCATTTAAAAAGGGTATCAACTGGCCCTGTGTCATCAGGAGACACGGCAACGTACAGCTGTGTGTCATCAGCGTAGCTATGGAAACTGATGCCGTGTCTCCTGATGACATCCCCAAGAGGAAGCATATAAAGATTAAAAAGAATGGGACCTAAAACTGAACCTTGGGGAACTCCACACCTAATTTTATGGGTCCCTGAGGAACACGTATCCATACTTACATAAAAGCATCGGTCTGTGAGGAAGGAGCTGAACCAGTTAAAAATAGTACCAGAGAGGCCGACCAGGTGCTTGAGTCTATTTAATAAAATGTGATGGTCTACTGTATCAAAAGAAGCGCTTAGATCCAGTAGAACCAACACTGTAAGTTTTCTGTTATCCAAATTCCACCTGATGTCGTTTAAAATCTTTAAAAGTGCCGTCTCGGTACTGTGGTTCATCCTAAAGCCATACTGATGTCTTTCTAAAATGTTTTTCTGATTAAAAAGTCATTGACTTGATTAAAAACCCGTTTTTCAAAAATTTTACTTTAAAAAGGTAAGTTGGATACGGGATGGTACTTATTAAAAACAGTAGGATCTAAATTGCTCTTCTTCAGAAGGGGCTTCACCACCACCGCCATTTTAAAGGCAGTGGGGAAGACGCTCGTCTGAAGAGAGTAATTCATCATGTTTAAAATCTGTTCCTCAAAAAATCCATAAAAAGATTTTAAAAGTGGTGTGGAAATTGGGTCTAAAAGGCAGGTTGTTGGGTTTACTTGGGAGTAAACTCGACCAAGTGTCCTTGCATCAACCAGGGCAAAACTCTCCAGTGTTTCCTTCCTTCCTTTAGTGTTACTCTACAACATCGCTTAAGACGTATCATGTAATTGCCACTTACACTTCAATATTAACTTTTGTGTATACTCACACATCAGCACANCATTTCTAATTATCTAAGTATGTTATGATGAGATATGCAAGTATGGCAGGGCTGTATAAACAAAAGCTTAAAAGAGACTTCATGTTGGACACAAATTCAGCCAGACATGCAAAATCACAGACTGAAGTGAAAAGCAAAGCCAACATTCAAGTGCCATAAATGTGCATTCTTTCTGACAGCCAGCAGGGGGTGCCTCCTCTAGTCAGATTGTCTAGAAGAAAATGACTTTAAATGTTTCACAATATTTTACTTTGGGAAACATTTTCCTAATGAGTTTGTGGTCCTAATCACTTGTTTCAAGAAGTTTTGAATATGAAATGGTGTTCCGTTTGTAAATTATAGTCCCATTTAGAGTAAAATATACAATGAAGCAGAGCAGTCTTTAGGACAGAACGACCTTGTGCATAGTGTCCTCAGGTTCTCCGGTCAGATCCAGCTCTCATCAGGTCCTGTTTCAAAAAAAAAAATGGAAATGGCCAAATTCCAAACTTGAGTCTTCAAAATGGTAGTGCACAAACCAGGGGTTGAGTGAACACATCCATAATTTATATTCTGTATATGCTCACAACAATAGCTCATGTTACTAAATGTCAGTAAAACTGACACATAGCGCAAGTTTTGCTGCCCCCTGATGGCCAAAAATCAGCTCCTGCATTTTGAAGAAATAAATCGTGGGCACTTCACATTGTGCGAACTCCTGCCTCCTTGCATTCCCCCTCTACCAATCCCTAAAGAGCACCTCAACAAAATGAGGAGAGAGGAGGTTTCTGGAAGAGCTTAGAACGCAATAGAAAAGTGCATCCGACCCCTCACATGCTTATTAGGACAGAGGTTGGAGGATACATTGTTTACCATCTACAATCCTGCATCAGACACCTTCCATCTTTGTAAATTGGCTTTTAACTTGTTTGAGTTAAATTACAAATTACATTTGTCATTTTTGTACAGTTTTTAATCAGTGTATTTTGTTTTCCAAATGATTTATTCCAGTGATGTCTGCTTTCTCCACCAGGTGTGCTGTGATCACAAGGATCTCGCCAGGTGCCGTCGCCGAGTTCAGCTGCAACGGGATGGACGGCCGCTACGTGAACATCGTCATCCCGGACAGAGAAGAGTTCCTGACTCTGTGTGAGGTTGAGGTGTACGGCTCACGGCTGGATTAGGTCTCACATGGACTCAAACTGAACAACATCACAGTTTAAGCGTCAGTATGACCAGAAAAATACAATAAAGTGTACAGAACCAAGAGTTCCAATTCCCAATTTGAAGTCATTTTCTTTTTAAGGTAATTTTTTTATTTTGGAAGGAACAGCGCAAAATTTAAAATTATTGCACCAGAGTCGGTTAGCAGCTAATTTGCATCTGTTGTCCCTGGACAGATACAAAAAAGGAAACAACCACAATGCACTTCATAAATACACTACATAAAACAATACAAAACTTCAAAGCCCATCAGTGTGAGATAATGAATAAAATCCATAAAAACAACAAGTGAAAGTTAATCACTGGCGGTGGCAATTCTGTGCTGACTTCAGCCAGATCTTGAGGCTGGTTTTAAACAACACCAAGCTTTCTGAATCTTTAATCTTAGGGATGGAACTGCGTAAGTAGATTGATCAAAATCTGTCTTTCTAAACTGAGATACCCAATCACCTCTAGTAGCTGCTCTTCTCCTACTCGCACTGCCGCTACCTGGGTGGACAGGCATCCTCTAGAGGACTGATACTACTGATTCAAGTTCTCAGCTAATGAAATATTCTGGTGACATTAGTACAAATCTGCAACACAAGCCAGCTTACATTACATTTGATGTTTGGCAGTGTTTCAGTGCTGTCGTTGAGTTTTAATTCTGATCTGTTGATGTACCGTCACTACACCTGCTGCAGCATAAATCTCTGTATGTAACTAGTGAAATACTATTAAATCATTGATGCATCCATGTTGCCCTTTTGATTTCATCACTTTTGTTCTGGATTAAAGACCCCTCTCTGGTGAAAATCAAGTCTTTTACCTGATTAACATGCCTATATGGTGGTTTTATATTCTAAAAGACATTTTCGACCACTCTTTTAGGCAAACATCTACGATTCGCAACAGTTTCTTGTATATGTGATTAAAAATCACATTCTGCAAACACAGCATATTTGTTTTGTAACTTGGAGAATACTTTCCTGCTAATACTTTGTTGCTTCTTTTTAAATAACATTATGAATCCCTGACTTTTCTTTATTTCTATACTATTAGACTGTTAGTGTTTTTATTGAAGCAAGGTATAGGATCAACATACCTTTGCTATTTATGAGCACCATGACAGCTCAGATTGCATATTGGTTACTTATTGAAGGACAGTGTTCATCACATACTCAGAAAACGATATAATCGCACATTAAATAGACGAATGGCATCGTATTCATGGCTCGAGATGTTAATAAACTGCAGAGAATTTCATGTTAACATGCTGCCGTGGAGCAAAACAGAGAAGTCGCAGAACATTTGTGATGTTGAAACACTCAGACACGAGGGTGACGCATTTACCAGAGAAGTTACAGAGACAGTGTGGGTTGCGAAAAGTGAAAATGTGCACGACTCAGCGTTTTCAACATTTATCGCTGCTGTTATTTTGTTCCCTGTGCGCGCTTTGGTACAGTCAGTGTTCTGGAAAAGCAGAGCCAAGAGCAGGTGGAGGAAGTCACTTAATTCTTATTTACTTAATTACGAATGCTTGTAAAATACTCTATTACACATAAATGTTCTGCATTTAACATCAACACCTACACTAGAAGTAGAGACGTATTATCAACAAAATGCACTTGAAGTGTTTGTGCTGCAGTAAAAGTCCTCTGAGGCTGGTTTGGTTGTTAATCCTGATGCATCACAGTGTAAATAGCTTTTACTGTTGTAGCTGCTTCAGGCGGAGTTACTTTTAACTGACTTTTCCTCTTTCACTCTCCCTAAAGTTGCTTTTATGTTGTTTGAATCACCTTGTTCCTCACTAACAGGCTGTATTGTTGTGATCTGAATTTAGTGCTTTGTGTGAGACTGTGTAGTGTGTGTGCTTGTTGTTTCTTCTGGCTGCGGTTGTGTTTTCAGGCTGGACGGGGTTTCCGGACGGGAGAGCTCTTACTCACACTCCTCCTCACCTGATGTGCATCAGCAGTCATCACTGGATAAAGTCTGCCTCCACCTGTGCTCCAGCGCCAGTGGATTATCCCCCTTAGAGTGGTAGCCAGCCTGCAGAGTGTGGAGAACTTCCTGCTTTGAGATACTTGCTTTGTCTGACGTGCTTTACCCCAGGATGTCCCTCCCTCACTCGGCTACCCTCACGAGCATCCCGGTGTCCCTTGGTTCCCTGCATTTGTCAAACAAATCCCTCTTTTCTTCACTCCCAAACCCTGTGTTGCATCTTTGGATCCCTCCCACGACTGAACCCTCACATGTATCAGCTCTTCGTTCAGTCTATATGATGACAGAAATTGCTTGTTATGAGTTTTCTAGTTCCCAACCCATCGGTCGGGTCCCTCCGAAGCATCCCGAGATCATTCTGAGGACCTGTTAGGAAAAGCAACTCCTCTGATCATTAATTTTGTTATGAGAGTTCTGTATAATTGCAGTAATTTAAGGATCTGAGACGTTTAGAAGAGATGAGGTCACTTTTTAACGGAACAACTCATGAGACATCCGTGATAATGGGCCCCTAATAGACTCTTCTGTTAGTTGTCAAAATAGCTGGAAACAAGGGATGTGTGTGAAATGTGCTGCATTTTAGAATTCTAAATGTTCTTTATATTTAAAATCTTCATGTCAAAATGTTGGACTCCTGACTTTGACCTACAGCCACTTTGTCAGGACCCTGTTGTGTTACATCTGAACACACTGGGGACCTTAAAACATCATTTTTTGATGCACAGGAAAGTCCAATATCCATCCATTATCCATCCATCCATCATCTATACACCGCTTAATCCTCGACCTTCTAGTTGCGAGGCAACGGTGCTAACCACTGAGCCACCTTGCAGCCCGGAAAGTCCAATAGACCAGTAAAAATCCCTGATTATCAGACAGAGATGCTCGAGCCAAATATCGTCAGCTTTTTCAGGTAACAAGAAGTTTGCCTGGTAACAGGCTGAGCGCTCAGAAAGGATGAATCTGTCATGACCAAATCTAACCAAGTAGTTTTGTGCCTACAAATCAGAACCTAAATAACACAACAAAGCATGTAAAAAAAAAAAAACAGTGTTCTGACAGGGGACAGAGGTTCAGTCGTCTTACACCACCAGCGTTCCTCTCACCTCCATTAGAGGCTGTTTTGTTCGACAAAAAAATACTTCTATCAGCGGATGTCTTGGACGGCTGCGGCTTTAACAAACCAGCAGTATTAAATAGAATAACAGAATAGAATAGAATAGAATAGAATAGAATAGAATAGAATAGAACTCTATCGTCATTGTTAACAACAATGAAAGACAGTTCAGCAGCTCTTTGGATAAGCAAATTAATTAGCAGATTAAGTATAATATATAAATATATATATGCATAAGTACAGTACTGGTGCACATTTATTGAGCTACATTTCAATTCTGGTCGAAAACAATTGCACAACCCCCTTTAATGCATGAAGCACTTGTCCATGGGAATAAATCTTGAGCAACAGGCACAAGGCTGTTGCAAAATACCCATTTTATTAAGTAACGTTATACATCCTTGAGTCAGTGTTCCTGGTAAAATATTGTGAGTGCTGTGGTCTGATCTTTGGCACATTTCTTGGCGTGGACTTGGATAACCTGTGACATTCATTCATGGGAAGGGAAGTAAAAGCCGCTGGTGGTTTGTGATTGGACAGTGCTGATGATGGCAATTATCTGATTCCTGTTTGGTTGGCTACGATTCAACTGATGCGATCAAGACGGAGATAGGTATAAAAGGCAAAGACACCCAAAGGTTTTAGGGGTTTGGAAGCTTTAACTTCTTCTCTGTTGAATCACCAGACTGCTGGAAGAAAGCGTTTGCTTTGTCTACACGTCCAGGTAATACATTGAACGTCTTTGTTCCAACAGATTATTGAAATCTTAACTCTGAAGTTGAACTGCTCCTGAATTAATCTGTAATTCTGAAGGTTTTTGTTGTTCTTATACTAATTTGTGGTTTCAATGTTCCAGTATGCTTTTTGGGTCCAATACTTCAAATATAAACACTTTTTAAGTTGCTTAATTACAAATTCAGATTCACAGAATTCAAGTCAGATGAAAAAAAATTAAAAATCAGGATGCAAAAATTAGGCTGCAAGGTGACTTGGTGGTTAGCACCGTTGCCTCGCAGCAAGAAGGTCGCCGGTGAGGACACCCGGGATCTTTCTGCGTGGAGTCTCCACGTTCTCCCCGTGCAGCGTGGGTTCTACTCTGAATATATGGAATGAATCTTTATGGGTTTTCATAGAGATGGCGGCGCACATAGACGCAACGGCTCTTTCAGGAGACAGCGAGAGTGAAAGTGTTGAGTGTCTTGTCTATCCCAGACATTTATTCTGCAAAACTGACAAGAGACTTATTTATATTATATATATTCAGACTTTGATTCCANTATATATATATACACAACTAAATTTTATTGAAAACGTGCCAAATCATGGCATGGCTCATCTCAGAGCACTTGACAAACTGCGGTGAGGGAGAAAAGAAGTCTGAGGAAGAAACCTGTGACAGAACCAGAAACTGGGTCTTTTTATGCTTAGATGTTTTCCATTTAACACTTCCTGCATCTGACTTCTGACCTTAAAGCACCTGTGTAGGATTTAGTGACACCTAGTGGCGAGGTTGCAGACTGCAGCCAACTTCTTTAACCCAGAATGCAAACTGCACAGGGGAGCCCCGCTTCTTCTAACTCAGACATGCACTTCCCTCAAAACAATTTTTGCCAAATTCAGGCATCTATAAATGTTTACAATCTGCTGTTTTGCCGTGCATTTGAAATATTATTGATGTGTGATTCATGTAAGAGGGTGATCAGTCACTTCTATGTGCACCACCAAGCGTCACTTGAACTCAAAGATCAGAGGAAAGAAATACTTTATTGAACCAGCTGCTAAAACAAATCTAATCCTCTGTGGTGCTAAAAGCTACTTGTCATCTGTTTTTTTTAAAATTCCTTTTGTTTATAATCTCATTAATAGGAATAATGATAAATAAAAGCCAAATCAACTGCTGTATAAATGTCTGTCATTTCTAACCACAAAATCGGTGAAAAAAAGTGAGCTCCCCTGAAACACACAGTGTGTTATGCACACCTAAAAAACTGACTTCACAAATAACACGGAGGGATTTCTATTTCCAGACTTTAACTTTGATTAATGCTTACTTAGTTCTGAATATTAAAGGTTGAAGAAGGGCTGAAGCATTCATTTGTTTTGCCACATTTCAGTGGCAGTTTTAATACAGCATATTTCTCATGTAATAGTAAAGAAATGTAAATCTTTAAATCCTGTAAATTAATGCCTGTCATGTTTCTCACCCAGAATGATGAAACTGAGTGTTTTCCTTCTGCTGCTCCTGCCGGCGATGAGCTCGACATACACTTACAGTAAGTATGATCAGAGAGCATCCATGTGAAGCATCACCACATGCAGGAGCACACTGTTTCCATTTGAGTTTTAAAGGTACTTTTAAAGATTGCATTTCATGTTTTGCTCTCGCAGCAGGTAGTCTGAACTCTCTGGACATCATAATGCACTTTGAATTACACAGTTTGACCTCATAGCGTCTCACCAGTGGGTCTGTCAGTTTGAAATTCTGCTGCAGGTCCCAACATTTACAAACATACCAAATGTGAAATGTATAGAATTTCACAAACACGGTTATAAAAATAAGTATCTTGGGTTATATGAATTATTATTTTAGTTACAAAAATAAGTCAATGAAAGAGTAATAAAGTATAAAAGTGGAAATTAAAAAGAAGAATAAATAAAAATTTTTAAAAAAAGTGGCGATATAAAATAATATTAATCAAAAATGATTCCATAAAAGAAAAGGCTGATTAAAGTAGAAATATAAAGACAAATAAATAAAATAATAAGAGTTATTCTTATTTAATTTTTTTAATTTTCATTTATTTTTTATGTCGCTTTTAAAGCAAAGGAAATATGCACACAACAACATTCCTACCGCGCACAGATTTCTGCGCATATTTCCTTTGCTTTCCTTTATTTTTAAATTTTATTAATTCTTCTTTTTATTTCCACTTTTATTTTATTATTCTTTTACTGATTTATTTTTGTAATTTGACACTTTCACTACTCCATATAACAGGCTACGTTACTCCTTACATTATTGCATCATGGCAGCGTGACTCCACAACATCGCTGTCATGTGACTTGCAATATAATGTTCAATCTCATGTATCAGCACAAATCTGTATCCTAACAAGAAGCACAAACATAAGATTGTTTTTTATGCTCTTTGATAAAGTTTTGCCACAAAACCAACCGCTACGTTGGTGAAAACCAGCCCACTGAGCACTTACAGAGTGAATCAAAGCAGAACCGACAGAAGGCTGAACTGCATTACAGGAAAACGTAATGTGATTACAGCGATGAGTTACTACCAACACTGATCACATCTTCTAAACGCTTTTCCATCCGTCTCATTCACAGAAAACTTGGCCTTGCGTGGAAAAGCCACCCAGTCAGTGCGTTATTATCACATACTGGCAGCTGCCTCCAATGCAATCGATGGAAACCGTGACTCGACCTTCTCGCACGGCTCGTGCACACATACTGTGGAGGAGAACAACCCCTGGTGGAGAGTGGACCTGCTGGAGTCCTACATCATCACCTCCATCATCGTCGTCAACAGAGGAGACTGCTGTGAGCACCGGATCAACGGGCTGAGGATACACATAGGCAACTCTTTGACCAACAACGGTTTAGGAAACCCAAAGTAAGTCAGTCGGAGAGATCAGCAAATGTCCAACATGTCCCACTAGTTTGTCAGAGCTTTGTTGCTCATTTTCACCCCAACAGTGTTTGTTCACTTCTGTAATTTGAGGCAAATCTAACATTGAGGTGCAAGAGCTGCTCAAGACTCAGTAGGTGTCAATGTAGTGATTTTTGGAAATATGAAAATATGCTGCGCAAGCATTAGCGCAGAACCATACTGACCTTCACTTATGAAGTAACTAACAACAATGATCCTGGAGTTATGAGCACTGTTACCAGTACTGCTTCTCAGCTGCCGTCATGGGGGACTTTAACTCTCTCTCTTTTCTGTCAGGGTTGGTACAATTGCTTCAGCTGATCTGGGAGAAGCAGTCACCGTGCGTTTCACTGATCGTGTTGAAGGACGTTATGTGACTTTGGCGCTATCTGGATCCCCAGAGTACCTTACGCTCTGTGAGGTGGAAGTCTACGGGTACCCTGCCCCAACTGGTGAGCTATTACACACCACAGCATGCAGACATTTTCATTTTATCTACAAACTGGTATGAGCCCAACATTTCTGGTTGATATGCAAAAGGTTGTGATGTACACATAATGCGCCTGGTTGTGCTAAAAACTAAAAAAAACTAGGGTTAGAATATATTTGTATATTTAGAAAGTGCATTAATAACTGTACAATTTCACATATTTGTAACTTTTAAGTGATCAATGATGTTGAGCGACTGCGTTGTATTAATTACATGCGTACATTCTTCTTGCAGAAGAGAATCTTGCACCACAAGGAAAAGCCACACAGTCGTCGCTGTATTCATTTGGCGTGGCAGGAAATGCCATAGATGGGAATCGTGCCAGTAAGTGGGAAAGCGGCTCCTGCACACA